AGAATAATATTTTCATCAAAGAATAGCAAATCAGAATTCTCTCAAAGATAAATTTCCACAAAAATCTAATATGAGAGGTGGCACTTATTATCTTATTTTTTAAACAAAAGTCTTACCTATTTCCCCTGAATAGATGCTCTACACAGCTGATCACAATTTTCAACAATGATTGCAATTTTTATACATAATTCCTTCTGCAGGCAAATAAAAAAACATACCCCAGAACAGTAAAAATAAAATAAAGCCACAGTACCTGAAAAACCTACCAAGGATTTTTGTTTTGGTAAACATCTGTGTTACCATTTAAACTCCAGACTCCTGAGATGACCCTTGGGATAAAGTGACAGCTTCAGGTTTGATGCCCTCTGGTATTTCAAGCAATGCTCCACAACCTAGACTATTTTTTGAGGATAAATGGCTGGCTACAAGCAGAATGTCCTGAGGCTTTGCCTTGGGCCTATAATCTCACCTAATCATTATTCACAATCTCTCAGAAAAGCCTCAGCTAAAATTGTGATCGCTATTTAGAACTAAACTTGCAGATTAATTTTTGAAAATCTTTCTTTTTCATAATTTCATTTTTTGTCTAATTTATGAACCTTTAGATATCAACTGCAGCAAGTGTTAAAACGTAGAGCAACAGATAATCTGTTTGGAATGTTGCTTTCTTTACCAATTTGTTGAAAAGATATTTTTATAACAAAAAATGCTTAAGGACTACATGGCATCATACATGTAACTGAATACATAGAGTCCTTAAAGGGAATATGAAAAGTAGTGATAATGGAGAGGAGGTTGGTAAATTCAGAACTTTGCAATATAGTTCTCATAAGCCATCTTTTATTTGAAAATCTAAAATAATTTTATAAATACAACAATGAATTGAGGGATGCAATAGTCCCTGAAATATCAGGGAATAAGCTAGAGTCAAATCATATCACAAATTTCTTTAATTAGACCTTTTACTTTTTTTACTTAGGTTGTCAAAGATATTACTTCTTGCCATCTATCCTGCCAAAAGTTTCCACTTTCCCTTTATTTCTAGGATTGATCATTTCAATCTCTTCACTGTTCTTCCCATAACTCTCCTTGAACTGACAGTGAAATACAATGTCTTACTGATTGTAACAAGTTAAGAGTCTCCTCTCCTGCAAGCAGCAATTAAGAGCAAGGGCTGTATACCTCAGACTGCCTGGATTAGAGTCAGATTCCTTACCTCTATCAAGGATATAATAATAGTTCTCACTGCAAAGCATACTGTGAAGATTAAATGAGACAATTGATTTAAAGTATTTAGTAGATTGTTTGGTACATAAGCACTCAATAATTGTTAGTTATTGTTGTTAATAATGGTAAATTTTAAGAACCTTCCATTTACTTGTTGAATACCTTCTAAGAAAACTGGAAAAACACATTTATGTGACTTTGGACTAACTTGATTTAAACTCTTTGTTCTTTTGTTTTCTCATTCATAAAAATAGTATGATCTGACAATATTAACCCAAAAGTCACTATTTACTATTAAAACTTATATGATTTTACTTAGTTATGACTAAGGTTCACATTTATTTTCCTTCTCTGCATTTCATAAATATTGATAATTCTATTTCTAGTTGAAACCAAATTTGTTTTTTGCATCCTTCTTTGAATAAGAGCCATATCTGCTGATCTTCCTGGCATTAGTAACAATAAGATATTTTACTAATTTCCTATGATAAACTATAATATTCACTGTCAAACTCCACAGAAGACCCTAAGAAAGTACTGTTTTCTTCTAAACTGATACCTTAAAAACTAATGAGATATTAATCACATAAACATGTAAAATTTTGTATTCCATCTAATCTAAAGATTTAAAAAAATCTGTTATATCTCTGGAGAGGGAAATGTAGTTTTGCTGTACAGTCTTGGAAAAGTCCCTATTAATATAGTAAAACAACCCACAATTTAGGAGAGTAGCTTCTGAGGACACAAAAATATTTATATCATGGTATAAAAAGTTATAGCTTCTAGCCCTGGCTGGCATAGCTCAGTGGATTGAGCACGGGCTGCAAACCAAAGTGTTGCAGGTTTGATTCCCAGTCAGGGCACATGTCTGGGTTGCAGGCCACAGCCCCCAGCAACCACACACTGATGTTTCTCTCTCTCTCTTTCTCCCTCCCTTCCCTCACTAAAAAAAAAAAATAAATAAAATCTTTAAAAAAAAGTTATAGCTTCTAATAAGGCATTTAGTAAAAATGTAAACTGGTTTTTAGCAGTTATTTACAATAGCCAAGTGCTGGAAACAGCCTAAGTGCCCATGAGTAAATGAGTGGATCAAAAACTGTGATACATTTATACAATGGAATACTACGTAGCAGAGAGAAAGAAGGAGCTCCTACCATTTGCGACAGCATGTATGGAACTGGAGGGCATTATGCTAAGTGAAATAAGCCAGGTGGTGAGGGACAAATACCATATAATCTCACTTGTAAGTGGAACCTAATCAACAAAAGAAACAAGTGAGCAAAACAGAACCAGAGACATGAACTAAAGAACAAAATGACAGTGACCAGAGGGGAGGGAGGAGGGGGATAACGGTGAAAAGAAGAAGGGTCAAGTCAAGGAACATATATGAAGGACCTGTAGACAAAGACAATGAGGGGGAGGACTGAATGTGGGAAGTAGGGGGTAGGTAGAGCAGGGGAGAGTAATGGGAGAAAAATGGGGACAACGGTAATTGAACAACAATAAAAAAACTCAAAAATACAAAAAAAAGATATAACTTTAGTAACAAAAAATGTATGGGTCAAAAACAAAACAAAAACAAAGAAAGAATGCATGACTAATGAGCAACACATTTTTTTTGGTCACAACTAGTTAGTATAATTTAATTCTTATAGAGGCTACTTTAGAATCCTAAATTAGATAACACGGGTCTTAGCTAATGCTGATGTTTGGTATAACATTGTAACTATTTTGTACTGGCAGTCAATGATTTCAGCAAGAAAAACGATGGCAGATGTAAAATACAGGTTAGGTAAAATGATCCCTAGAGTCACTCTCATATTGAAATGTTGAAAGATGAAATAACCTGGTGTCTGAATTTATTTCCAATAATACAGACAGTTAAAAAAAAGGTTAGCCATGATTTCTTAATTATTGAAGCCAGACTGAGGTACATGGGGGTTTATTACACAATTCTGCCAAATCTTCTGTTTCAAACTATCCAAAAAATAAAGTTTTTAAAGAAAAAGCTAATGAACATACAGACACCAAAGCCAGAATCCATGTAGAATAGATGATGACAGACAGCTTTAACCTCATAAACATGCTAACCTTACAAAAATGAAGTACATAAAATCAAAACAAAATTAAACATAAAAAAATGAAAACATGGGAAATAATTATATAACAAGATTTACAGTGTTCATATTCTTAATATGATTACTGATTCCTTGCAATCAGGAAAAACCATTAAAAAGCCCAAGAAGGATTTGGAATGGAGCATAAATAAGATGGTCATAAAAGAAATATAAAGGACAAATAAAAGTACAAAGAGACATTTATCTTACAAATAATCAAGTACTGTATTTTTAGGACTGTAAGAATGCACCGGACCATAAGATGCACTTAGGTTTTAGAGGAGGAAAACAGGGCAAAAAATTTTGAAGCAAAAAATGTGATGAAATGTTTAATAGCCTGTGACCTGGCTCCACCACCGCCTCCACTCCCCACAAGCCAGGTAAGCTACATTTGGACTGTAAGATGCACCCCCATATCCTCCCAAATTTGCGGGGGAAAAGTGCATCTTATAGTCCAGAAATATGATAAATGAAAGTTAAAATTCCATATACTTTTCCCATTTCAGATTTATGTAAAAACAAAAATGGTTAATATCAAATAACAAAGCTACAGAGAAAGTGGCACTCTTATAAACTACTGGTAAAAATGAAACTTGATAGAGATTTTTAGTAATTACTTTTTGATCCACCAAATCCATTTTTAAGAATACATCATAAACTAGTAGTATTTTCCAAGATGTTAAATGGATGTTGTCAGATGTTATTTTGTATATGTGTGTGTAAGCCTAAATTCAATTTTAAATGTAAATGTATACAGAGGCACTTAAATTTTTTTCTCCTTAAAAATTTTTTCCTTTGCTTTTATTAAAATAGACTATTTTTTCAGAGAAGTTTTGGACTCAGAAAAATTGAGCAGAAAGTACAAAAAATTTTCTTATGCCCCCTCCCCATGCACATGTACAATTTCTCTCATGTTCAACATCCCACAGACAGATGTTATTTTAAGAAAGGATTCTATAATCAAGTTTGATTTCTAAGACCTTAGTACACTACACATTGTATTCTCTAAGATGAAGGACAACAGTGTTTCCTTACATTCTACATCATGGAACCCTTCCATGAGAGAGCATGCCTAGGAACCAAGGTTCTGCAATGCATACTTTTGGAAGTTGTCCTAAAGAAATCATGAGGCATGAATTCAAGGAAGTATCTACAAGTACGTTCACTGAAGAGAAGTTGCAAAAGATCCCAAATGCTCAGTAATTGGGAAGTGGTTACATGACTTACGTTATATCCTTAAATTGGAATACTATACTATACTTGCTAAGTGAAAGAAGCAGTCTAGCCAAAGAGCATATTTATCCTATTGTGTCTGTTCATAATCATAATAGTTATATAGACACATATATATGTCATACAGAAACATGTATATCAATAAATTCAGAGAGACTTACAATAAAATATAAAGAATAGTTGTCTCAAGGTGGTAGGATCACTATATTTTTCTGTACCATCATATAGATAATTTTTTAAATGAACATTTTAATTTTATAAGTGAAATATCTTTTTAGAGGCAATGTATGCCTTACCTCTTTGGCACTTTACTCTATAGATGTCAGAAGATGTTTTCCATATTTAATAAAAGTTAAATTCACTGACAAGAAAACCATAATTATATAACATAATTTCAAGAGAGAAAAAACCCACAGTTCCTACCTTCTGGAGAGAAACTGATAAAAACATAACAAGTGCTGCAAGACCCAGCAGCGTAACGGAGGCAGTAAGTCTCTAGATGCTCTATGCCTTTATGAGTCCCTGTACGGGAGCACCTCTTCTCTCTGAAACAGAAGTGACAGAGACACACACATTCATTTTTAAAAGAGCGGCTGAATGGAAATCATTTTAACCACAGACTGCAGCTATACAGGCAGCCTGTTTTCAAGTAGGGTCTCGGGTAAACAGTTGGAAATATTATCTCTTACTTATTGTGTAACTTTGGACACATTATTTATCTTCTCTGTACCTCAGTTTTCCTCACCTGCAAGTGGGGATAATAATAGTACCCAACTAGAAGGGTTGCTACAAAGATTGATATTCATAGAATAGTCACAACATTGCCAGATACAGTAGTATACGTTATATATGTGGTTTTTAGAAATAAATACCTAGGAAGGGTTGGTTATTAATAGAGACCCTTCAAAGAGTATATTACTGTGACATTTTACGTCCATTCGCATCTCAAGTAATTCTCACCTCAATGCTGTGAGATAGGTATTATTACCACCTGGCCCTTGGCTTTGTAATTAGAAACTTGATTTTATCAGCTCCCAAAACTGTTATGAACTCACAAGAAACTGATCAATTTAAAAGGAGATTATTTTTGTTGTTCTAAATGATGTTCAATAGTTTGAATAAAATACTATTTACTGATCTATTTGAGTACCAAACCACTTACAAATGACCCATCAGTATAAAATTAAAGCAATGAGTACCAAAAACTCAAACTGGACCTTCTATCAAGTCAGAATAGTATGTGTGTCTATTGTTTTACTATTTTTTTCTTAATGCTTATATGGCATAGCATCTCCAATGGCAAATATTTGCCAGGATTATTAATCTAAATCTAATAATAAACTTTCTTCAGAAAAATCTAAAGGGATATCTTAAAAACAATTGGCCCAGATTTTTTTTTAAAGAGGGGAAGAGGGGGAAACATCAGTGTGAGAGAGAAACATCAATTGGTTGCCTCTTGCAAGCAGTTTGAACCTGAAACTCAGGCATGTGCCCTGATCGGGAGACCAACGGTGACCTTCCGCTTTGTGGGATGGTGCCCAACCAATTGAGCCATTCTGGTCAGGGCTGGCCCAGACTTTCGAAAAAAATGTCAATGTCATGACCTGAAAAGGCTGGGAAATATTTTTTTTTAGATTAAAGGAAATTAAATGGATAGGACTACTGAATACAATATATGATCCTTAATTGGCTTTTGGATCAGGGGAGAAAAGATAGCTATATTTAATCAACAGCTAGAAAATTTAAAATAGAGACTTTTAAAATCGCTATTAATACATTTAAAATTAACTTAGGTGGTTTATTCTTACAGATGAAATTATTCATGTATTACATTCATCATAATTTATTAAATACCTATTCAGTGTAGCAAGCCTGTAGATAACAAAAACTCTTACAAAAGACAGACTCTAAAATACAGCCTTGGCTTGCCCAAAGGGGTTAAGTGAAGGGCAATAAAGACCCCTCTGTCTCAGTCTGGCAAGTTAGCAAAACAGCTAAACTATTGTCTGTTATATGCGGGACTCAGACCATCTTCCTATTAAAGTATTTTCCCTTATACTAGAAGGAAAAAGTTCAGAATGTGAGAATAGGTTGCTACTTCAGGCGGCCTTCAGTAAAGTTCTACAAGTAGGAGTGGAACGTCAGGAAGCAGAGAAGGAGGAAAAGACAGCTTCACCAAAAGGGCTACTTTGTGGCTAAGAATCAGATGAGCTGGAGCCTGGTAGGATTGAAGAAGACAAATTACAGATGTTTTATAATGATCTTTTATTTGTTTCTTGAATAAATTATTTCCATAATATAAAACTGAAAGATATTAAAAGGCAATGAAAACTTTCTTTTCCAGGTGTCTTGTTCCCCAGGCACCTGTTTTCCCTCCCTAAAGGCAACCACTGATACCAGATTCTTGAATCTTTTCAGAAACGTTTAATGCTTTGCCATATCTGCACTGGCATTTACAGAAATGGAGTGAGTTATACGCATTGTTCTATACTTTGCTTTCTTCACATAATGTTTTATCAATTGATCATATCAGTATATATAGAGCTGCCTTATATATTCTTATTATAAAGCTTATGGCATAAAAACTACAGAGTAGACAAGAAAGCAAGAGGATATAATAGATGTTTTCCCATGCAGAGGAAATAAGATACTGGCCACCAGGTGGGGAAGAGCATCAGGGTGTCTGAGCACAGAGTATGGAAGGCAATGACTGAGGAAGGTACCAGGGAGGGTTGTCTGAAGACATCTTTGGATTTTAAGATGCCAAAGTGTTGTGTGTATTGTGGCAGAGTACCTGAAAAGTTACTGAAGCCTCTCCTATGAGAGAGTTGCAAAAATGGCCAAGACTGATCTGGCAGACATAGAGGAGACTGAGGTTTAAAGAAATGCAGCAAAGGGAGCATGGTCTCCCCAGCTGGGGACCATGGCAAAAACTGTGGTAGTATGTCCAGTGCATGAAGTCCAGGGGCACAGCCAGGGGAACTACGTCGCAGTAGATGCTGGCACGTGGTGCCAATATGCCAAGGGCCAAGCAGCAACTCAGCAGAGACCAGCAAGCAGACAGAAGAGTATGGAATTTCATACTTACCCACTGATGCCAGAATGATATGGGTCTCCCTAGGAACTTGAAGAAGAGTAGAAGGGAAGGAGAAAATAAGGGGTAGGGAAGAGTCTTAGTTGAAAGCCTAAAGTGACTCAATTTTATTTCAGAAATGACCAAGCAACTACCAATTGGTAAGATGGAGTTTTCCTTTTTCTGTGGAAATGGTGGTGGTGGTGACAGGGAGCTGAGGGTGGGAGGGGTGACTGGAAAAAGGGTTTGTGAGATAAGTCAATTTTAGATATAGGCAAACAATTTTCCATACCTGAGATAAACAACTATAAAATTTAAATTTACACTGTCAGCTCATAGGGCTGTTAGAAGGATACAATGAAATTTTGTGTGAAAATGTACAACAATAAATGGTTCTGATTTCTATTTCTGACATTAACCTTTCTTTGACTTTTCACCAAGTTCTTGGGATATAACAGTCTCATAATTACAGATTTTATTATGTGCACTCACTTCCAAAGAGTATTAGCTTTGAAGTAAGTGAAACCTCAATCCATATTCTACCTCTGTCACCCACTAGGTGTATGAGTTTGGGGAAGTAACGTCTCTGAGTTTCTTTATGGTCTTTATTTATAAAGCATGATATGATAATAAAAAATTATTTCAGGCCATGACTGGGTAGCTCAGTTGGCTAGAGTGTCATCCCAATATACCAAGGTTGCAGGTTCGATTCTCAGTCAGAATCGAACCTGCACATACAAGAATTAACCAATGAATGCATAAATAAGTGAAATAAGGGAACAACAAATTGATGTCCCCCCCCCGCCCATTCTTCTCTGTCTCTCTAAATCAGGGGTATCAGACTCATTTTCACTGGGGACCACATTAGCCTCGAGGTTGCCTTCAAAGGGCCGAGTGTAATTTCAACTCCTTAACAGTTAAGGAGTAGCTACATTTATACAGTCCTAAAATTATTTTGGCCCTTTGAAGGCAACCACGAGGCTGATGTGGCCCCTGGTGAAAATGAGTTTGACACCCCTGCTCTAAATCAATAAATTGTGGGCTTCTGGTCAAGATGGCAGTGTAGGCAGACATGACTCACCTCTTCGCACAACCACATCAAAATTACATCTGAAATATAGAACACTCAGAACTGTAAGAAACTGAGTTGAATGGAAGTCTGACAACTACAGAATTAAAGAAACCACATCCATCTAGACTGGTAGGAGGGGCGCAGATGTGAAAACAGGCTGGTCTCTCAAACACATGTGGGGGATAAAAATTCGGGATACCTTAGGAGTGAGCAGACTAAGCCCCACACCAGGCCCTTCAGCCTAGGATTCCAGTGCCAGGAAGATAAGTCCCCACAACTTCTGGCTGCAAAAACCAGTGGGGATTGAGTCAGTGGAAGAAAATTCTGGAGCCCCAAGCAGTTCCTTTTAAAGAACACACACATGGACTCACCTACTCAGACTCACTCCCTCTGAGCTCCAGTGCTGGGGTGGCAGCTTGAAGGGAACCAGTGGCATACTGGGAGAGGCTGAAGTGTCTGGCATTGGGGTGAGCAGAGGCCACTGTCCCTTTTTTGAGCCTTCCCCCCAAGCGCCATGGAGCTGGCACAGTGCCATATCTGAGATTCCATCAACCTGGCTGAAACTGTTTGCCTCACTTAGGAGATCCCTAGAGACTCTGCCCCACCCAACATACAGGCCCACCCAAGCTGTTTTTCCATATGAATGGCTGGTCTTGGCTCCTGCTTCAGAACTTCCTAAATCCTATCAAACAAGCAACAGCTGTTCTCAGTGAGCTATAGGCCCCCTGCACCAGCAGCAGCTAGATTAGTTTCATAACTTGCCTTTGCCTGGGAATCTCCAAACCCTGAACAAGTCGGAGCCTTTTAGGTTGCTTTATATCTCAGGCAGAACAGCCCTGGACAAAACCAGGTGGGGGCTGACCTTGGCCTGCACCACCCAGGAACCAGGGCCAGTGCACCCAGTGGACAGCCACAGGCCACTTTGGAGCACCACCACCCTGCCTCTGCACAGCTGATCATCCATAGAGGGTGGAGGTTGGGGGTCAGTGGTCACAGACAATTCTTGTAGCTGACTGGCCTGGGTAAATCCCTCTCATTGACCTGCCAACAGTAATCAAGGATCAAGTACAAGAGGAAAACCTACTCAGCCCACACAAAGGGCACACTCTGAGTACCCAGCTTGGGTGATAGGGGAGGCTGTGCCACTGGACCCTATAGGCCACCTACCATATCAGGCCACTCTACCAAGCCATGGAGTCAAAGCAGCTCTACCTAATACATAGAAACAAACACAGGCTGCCAAAACAAGGAGACAAAGAAGCATGGCGCAAATGAAAGAACAGATCAGAACTCCAGAAAAGTGCTAAATGAAATGGAGATAAGCAATCTATCAGATACAGAGTTCAAAACAATGGTTATAAGGATGCTCAAGGAACTCAGTGAGGATCTCAGCAGCATAG